AATATTAAAATATAATGAAACATTGTAATGAATCTGAATTCAGAAAAGCATTCCTATAATAAATAAAAGCAATAAAATGTGCCCTGAAAGGGAAGGGATTATTTGTCAGTAAGTAATTCAGTAGCAAGAATTGTTCTGCTAACAGATGGTAGCCGCAGAGCTGTTTGCTGAGAGCAGTCAAATGATAGCCCAGTCTCTACAATAAGATTCCTAATCTGCTATAATTTATTTAAAAATCCTATTAATGTGTGTGTGTGTGGGGGGGGGGGGGGAATCCTTGAAGAATTGACTACAGTTCAGAGTTGGCTATTCTTATGAAAGAATTCAGGCTACACTGCAGAAAATATGAGAAAGATACCCGATGATATGCAGTCATACACCTCAATTCCAGGTCAACAAAAGTGATGCTGTCAAGGTCCTAGTCTAATACCAGAAAACTCTGTAGGTCTGATGGGAAGGAATAGACTCAGGTTCAATCCTGACAAGATGGAGTGGCTTAGGTATTTCGGAGGCCTGGCTCTGGGATCTTTGGTCTTGGATTGGATCACGGTTCCTTATTCAAAGACCGATGTGCAGTTTGGAGAATCCTTATGGATTCATTGCACCTCATTACATCTACAGTATGGGTTGATTGCACCTAAAGAGCAGGTAGCAGCTGTGATCAGGAGTGCCTTTGCACCAGTTACATTTCTTTTCTGGAACCAAGAAGCACCTCAGTCATTCATCTTAGTCAGCTCACAAACTGACTGCTGTAATGGGCTGCCTTTGAAAGACTACCCAGAATCTATAGGTACTCCAGAATACAGTGGTACAATGATGGCTATTTTTTTGTTATGGCCATGAGATACCAATATGTGTATGTGTGCGCACGCACATGCCGCAGCACAATACCTGACTTATCTCCTACATGCCTCAATAATACATTGCTGAACTCACAAGGATGGCATTGATTGGAGTACAGCAAGATTAAAAGAGCAAAATGTTGTGGGAGTAGACATGATGGTCTGAATACCCATTTTTTATCTCTTGGACCAGGCAAATGACATCTGATGGTAAAACTGCCAACTGTCAGAAGTGTAAGTTTCCATTCTATCTCTCTCCCATCTCTCTCTTTCTCCAATATCTAAACATAAAAAACCTGGCATGTTAACAGTTTACATGTAATGCCATCTTCAGTGCATGGCCCCAGAAAGACCTAATATGCTATTTGTGGGTCCTCCTGGACTCACAACTCCTAGAAGAGCAGGTGGCAGTCATGACTAGGAGGACCTTAGCACGGTTTCATTTGTGCACCAGTTACACAGGTTCCTGAACCTGGCGGCTCTGCTGACAGTTATTCCTTCTCTAGTCACCTTCTGTCTGGAGTATTGTAACGTGCTGTGTGTGGGACTGCCATGGAAGACTCTCTGGAAGTTTTCACTGGTGCAAAATATAGCAGCACAGGCAGGTACATGTGCTTCTAAAACAGAACATGTTATTTCTCCATTCTGTCAGATGCATTGGTTGCCTGTCTCCTCCTAAGCCATTCAAGGCCATTCAGGTTGCTTGTGTCCACCTTTAAAGCCCTTCATGGCATGGGGCTGGTTTATCTGAGGGATCATCTGCTTGCCCCATCAGATCTGTCATGATAGCCCTGCTGCATGTCCTGTCTCTCAGGAAACTACACTTGGCAGGCTTAAGGAGGTGGACCTTCTCTACGGTGGCACCAGTCTTACTAGAACATTCTCCACCCTGAAGTGAGGTCAACTCCATACACCCTTATTTTTCAGAAGTCCCTCAAGACCAGGATTTGACACCGTACTTGGAGATTTCAGGGAACCAGTAAGATCTTTTGTGTGTCCTTCTTTTTCTAACTTGTTTAATATGACTAGTTTTGGCACATTTATTGTTTTATGATTTGTTTCACTGTATGCCAGCCAGATTCCCTTCTTGTGAGATGGACAGACTTATAAATATAATAAATAAAATAAAAATAACAGACCGTATTTAAAACATCCGCACAACAAATCCAGAAAGGGACAAGAATATTCCTCTTCCCTCTAATAATATCATATCACTGAATGTCCTTTTTGTAAGTTATTGTTGTTATTCAGTTACCTGTTTTGGTGAAGAGATATTCAGTATTGACTGGATACACCTTAATTGCCACGTATTTAGAATAGGTTCATTGAGTACTAGGCAGCTTGATAAAGGTACGGGTGGATTGGCAACTTTCAGCATCAAATTCCCTATACAGTTCCAGAAGGAACATTGGTCATTCTTGGACTTGGTCATTCTTAGGTTCAAAGAACCTAAATGGCTTGATTTATTCCCTGATGATGTCCTATACAGTGCCTGATTCCTAAACCATGTCACTTGCTTTTTTATGTCCTGGTTGTTGGTAGGAACATGAATTGACTTTATTGGCTGTCTTACCTTGCTTGCCGTCCTGGTCTATGAATACACTTTGTAGAATGGGTAAATTGTGGATTATGCAACTCTGTTTTGTCTATATTTTTCTAAGTTCCATTCTGGTGACCTGCCTCCATTGTGAATCCTCCAATGAGCTCAGCCATTTTCCTCAAAGTAGCTATTACTTTTCTGGACTTAATAGGATATAGTGGTTATTAATCTATACTTTTCTATATATGTTTCATTCGTTCCAGATCAATATGATGCCAAGTTATATTACAATAATCTAATCTAGACTTCAAGAAATACATTTCTACAAGTTAACTTCTAGATTAACTTGCTGCATAGTATGGCTATGACAAATAACAGTAGCTGCTGCAATGCAGAATTGTAGCAGTGAGCAGATGATATCCTGACTGTAAGTCGGAAATGGAGTTAATAACATATTTTCTATCTCTTTTTATATTTAATTGTGTTCTTCCTCTTTAAAATGCTTTTTCTACAACTTCAAAGTAGAATGGTTACTTTAGAATCAAGATATATTACCTTTAATTTTATTTGCCAGGTTGTGTTTTGCAACAATACACTATATATTAGTCATCAGCGGAAAATTTGTGTTCCACCATTCATTCATTGAAAATAGGCATCTGAAAACTACGTTTTCCCCTGAAGCGTGGGATATGGCTGAAAGTAAAAGCTTTACAGTAGTTATAGGAAGTTGGCAGACCAGAGGCAAGAAGGTGTTTATTTTTAGGGTTCTCTAGAGACTATAATTATAGTCTCTCCAACTGGAGCTAGATTTTGCGTCCAATGGATTCCAAAATTCAGCAAGGGACTCCTTTTGAGACTGTGAAGCAGCATCTAGTTCACTCACTTGGGAAAGACTAATGAACAGTACCCCATCTTTCTTCCCAGGGCAGATTCAAATTGATTAAGGGATTAAAATCCAGTGAAAGTAATAAATAATATTTATCCACTGGAATTGATTGATCACGTACCATTATACCTTTCTCGGTTCTTAGATAGACCTTCTTCAGGAGCATCTATCGCCAATCTAGTTCTTTAGGTTCCCCCAGCTAAGTTCCTATCACCACTGTAAGTCAAGTCTATCCACCTTGGTCTTGCTGCTGGTCACCTTCTTCTATTTCCTTCCATCTTTTTCAGCATTATGGACTTCTTAAGAGAACTGGTTCTTCTCATATTGTGCCAAAATATAATAGGGCCAGATGATCATTTGCATCTCAAGTGACAACACTGATTTATTGTTTTGTGATCCATTTGTTTGTTTTCTTTGCTGTTGTATTCTCCAACAACAAAGTTCAGAAGCGTCAATGCTCTACTTCTATTCTTTTCCTTCAAACTCCAACTTTCACACTTTCGTCACAGGGAAGAGCACTGCCTTCACAGCTGTGATCTTTGTAGGTATAGACATAGCATCTGAATATCTTTTCCAAGCCTTTTGTTGCTACCTCCCCACATAGTAGTCTGTGGCACAATTCTCAAACCAACTGAAATAGTAGCAACCCCCTCCTCCTCCCATATGCTTAATAAAGCAATACAGTACTGCTCCCGAAAGCTAGTGTAAAATAGTGATAATTTTAACTGAAATAAAAGGATGTCTACAAATACAAACTAATTTTGATTGATTTTTCTTATTGAAGTATTTCAGATAAGCACTTCCCTAAAATGCAGTGTAAAAACATTTAACTGCCGAGACTCACAGGTTTTCATTTGGGGATAGGCGGTTCTTGTGCTAGCCGTGAATGAGGTGGCTCATCTGCAAATCAGTCCCATTAAATAGTAAGACACTATGCACAGGCATGCACTCAAGTCAAGGCTGCAGTTCTTTGAAGCATAGTGGACATGCACCAGTCTTTGGTGAGCTTCAAAAACATTTTCAAGACAATTCGCATGTTGATTTGTCTGTCATAAAATTGTGATAAAATCTTGTATTTGTGAATTCCAGAAACCCACTGACGTTGTTCTCTGGTTCTTTTCATAGAGCAGGGGTGTCAACCTGGTGGCCTGCCGATCAAATGTGTCACGTGCAGGCCACGCCTACCCCAGCTCCACAAAGGGAAAAACGTCACAAAACATCATGTGACGCCAACGTGACGCTGCGAGTTTGACACCCGTGTCATAGAGGGGGAAAAGGCTGCTTTGTTTCCTAATGCTGGAAGTAGAATTAACACTTCTTTAAAACTAGTTCACGTTGAAATGTGTCTAAAGGAAATAGTGTCCTGAAAGGAGAAAACATTCAAGCAAATGTCCTTTTTCTCCAAAGCTATTATTACATGAGGCAGCATAGTTTTTCAGTGCAGTGGATAATCACAAGTGAGATCAGCTCCAGACTATCTTTTAGCAAAAGATCCTAGTTTACAGAATATTTCAGTGGCAGACTGCAGAGATTTAGGGACAGTTCTGAATGCACCATTGTCGTAGCTGTCATAAATGATTTGCTAAAATATTATCTGAAGCCAGTGATTGTAATGAGCTGTGCCAGCTTAGATAGATGTAACCTGTGGACCATAACATGAATGATCTTAAACTTAACACATCTCATTTGCAGTTCTTTTTCACTTCACTTTCCGTATTACTTCCTTCTACAGATACTCTGAGCGAAGCCTTACAAAGTGCATTGGGATTACTATAGAGACCAGGCCAGATTATTGCCTAAAACGGCATTTGAGTGATATGTTGTCCTATGGATGCACAAGGCTGGAAATTGGAGTACAAAGCATTTATGAAGATGTGGCCAGAGATACTAACAGGTAAGACCTGGGAAACAAAGGTAAAACAACAAAAAACAGAGTTGTAAGGGACCTTGGAGGTCTTCTAGTCCAACCCTCTGATCAGGCAGGAAATCCTATATCATTTCAGACAAAGTTAGAAGTTTTTAGAGGGAGAGTACACAAATTGAGAAATGAGACTCTGCCAGAATCTTCCATGGAAAGATGGCTATATTTTCAGTGTTTCCTGTTTCCAAGATTCCTGGCTGGATTTGTGCTTTATGTAGGCAATGTGGGTACATTGCTTAGCATGCCTACCAGTTGTGGTATTCAATTTTTTTTACTACTGGTCTGTGGGTGTGGCTTGGTGGGCGTGGCAGGGAAAGGATACTGTAAAATCTCCCTTCCCTCCCCACCCTACTAACCTGCTTTCCAGCTCCATTCTCCTGTGCAGGGCAACAAAAGAAGACCCAGCTAATCAGTTGGGATTTGGGAGGCAGCAAATAGATGGGGGCAGGGCCAGTCGGAGATGGTATTTGCCGGTTCTCCGAACTATTCAAAATTTCTGCTGCCGGTTCTCCAGAACAGGTCAGAACTGCCTGAATACCACCTCTGATGCCTACCGTATTCTTTTGACCACCAGATTGTTTTGATTTTTGTTATCCTTTTTAAAATTAAAAATAAATGGGAAGTCAGTGTACTGCACCACAAAATACACCTTTACCTTACCTTTACTTCTAAGAAAGTATTTGAGACTCATGTATCTGACAGTGTCTGGTTGGAGCTCAGTGTTGTGTATGGAATGTGTCTACTCCATAAATTGAGATGGTAGGTATTATCTTGGGATACTAAAGAGTAATGGGGAAGCAGGTGGTAAACAAGTGTTTTGTAAGAAGCCAAGTCACTCACAGTCATTCTATCAAGTCATAAAAATGTAGTCTGTGAAATATACAGGTAGTCCTCGACTTATGACCACAATTGAGCCCAAAATTTCTGTTGTTAAGTGAGATATTTGTTTAGTAAGTTTTGCCCCACTTTACGACTTTTCTTGCCACAGTTGATAAGTTACTAACCCGGTTATTAAGTGAATCTGGCTCCTCCATTGATTTTGCTCTTCAGAAGATTGCGAAAGGTAATCACATGACCCTGGGACACTGCAGTGGTCATAAATATGAGCCAGTCATCAAACATCTGAATTTTGAACACATGATCTTGCGGATGCTGCAAGGTCGTGAGTGTGAAAAAAAAATCATAAGTCACTTTTTTCCATGCTGTTGGAACTTTTGAACAGTCGCTGAACGAACTCTTATAAGTTGAGGACTACCTGAAATTCATCTCACAGATTGCGGTAACTGAACTGTTTCTCATTAATTATTTCTTGAGGGCTGAGGTAACTTTAAAAACCATCTTGCACAGTTGGGTTTTAATATATAAGAGGCAGCCAAAATAGTCAGATTATTGCAACATCTTCACAGCAACTTTAGAGCTTCTTAGTTTGGTGTCTATGCTATGCTTTGGCATATATGAATATCATTGAGATTTATTATGGTTTGAAATAAATGGGCAAGGAGAAAAAAAAACCCTTCTCTAATCCCTTATAAATAATGGTAATTTTTTTGGCCGGAGAACAAATCTTAACTGGCAGTAGGTTTATGGTAGACAAAAAAAAAAAAGAATATCCCCAAGTAGTTTACAAGTCATTTGTGCCATTTGGCAGCACTAGGCCAGAGATTATGTCCTCTGGCGTAGCAATTATTTTCTTTCCATGTGAACTCAATGCTGGTACTTCAAATGTCCATGAGGTTTTCTTGGCAGTGGTACAGGTCTAATTGACACCCCTGGTATTCCTGGAGGTCTCCCATCTAAACTCTAACCAAGCTCAGCCCTGCTTATCCTTCTGACTCCAGAGACGTTCACTTAAATGCTTAAATATGCTCCAGCTTGCTAGATGTTAACAGAATTAGGCATTCTGAAAGCAGAATGCAAGTCTACATCAGTCCATAGCCTTAATCCAGCAGTATATTTAATCCCTGACCCCTTTTGGTATTTGTGGAAATTGTCTCAGATGTACAACAAAAGTAAAACCAAATACAACTGGTCCACTGGAATTGGGTGGCCAATAAATTTAAGTAAATAATAGTGGTAAACAAAGTATTTGTGATTTTTGTAATCCAAGTTAATGCAAAAGAATCAGGCTGATTTGATAATTTGGAGGTGAACCAATTTTAAGGGGTTTATATGTACAATTGACTATATTAAAAAAGGAAAGTACATCAAAGTTTACCTTTGAGGTGAGTCACTTTCCCGGACCCGATAGATTTACGAATATTAGGCCTGGGATTCAAAGTTGAAAAAAGTTTGGGTTTATACCCCACTATGACTGCAGAAGGTCTTAGTCATCGAATGTAATTCTAAATTAAACTTATTCTGTTGCATATTCGTCCAAAACTAAAATTTCTAGAACTAAAGCAGATTATTTTAGTAAACCACAAAAGTTTGGCTTTCCATGTGTCAGATGTTCTCTTTGGATGCAGGAAAGATTTGAAAATTGCACGAAGAAATCAACAGCAATTTCTTTACACTCTGTATCCAAGGCAGTGTGCTTGATCAAATGTTTGCCGTGCTTTTTGGAATTCCCTTGGGGCAGAAATTTATTCACTTTAGTCCTTTGACTTTAGAAAAAAGTGAAATACCTACATATTCCATCTTACCTGGGAGGAGGGTGTGTTGTAATGGGAAGATAGGGTTATGGATGTATGGTATTTGTATTTTGGGGGTTTTATCTTTCTTGATCATTTTATTTTTATATATACTGAGGGCTTTCTGGGACTATTATTTTATATGCTGACATTGTTAGACTCCTAGAGCCTTTGGAAGCAGGCAGTGTGCAAGCAAAATATAAAAATGCACCACCTTGCATACATTTACACATAAGATAGCAGGAGTATGAGGGTTTTATTGTAGAAATGTGACCTTTATTGTAGATACTTTCAAGAAATCTGAGTAACTGTTTATAGCTATGTTTTTAAATTTTTATTTATATGTATACTAATATATAATGCCAAATAGCTGCCAGTTTGACACCCCTGCAAAAGGGATAACAGGAGAAAGTAAATTCCAGGTGTGGTCTTACTACTACTTATCACTCTAGGCATCTAAAATAAAATTTATACATACATTTATTTGTTAAGTTTATTTGCTGCCCATCTCACCGTGGGGCTGTTCTGGGTGTCTTACAATAGAAAGGGGAAAAAAACAATAAAAAATGTAAACATAACAATAGCCAAGCAGTGAAAAAATAAAAACAAATAAGGAAAGTACAATAATATTAATTCAAAGAAGGGCAGAGGGGGAGCAGAAAGGGCAGAGGGGAGATGGGGGTCAGCTAACTAGCCCAGTAGCCACCTTCAGTGTGGTACTTCCATATTGGGGCCCCAGGCCAAACAGCAGAGTCAGGTCCTCAGGCCTTTGTAGAAGGATAGGGGGGTGAGAGCAAAACTCAGTCCGCGGGGAGGAACAGGATGTTCCGGGAAGGCTGGCACCACAACAGAGAAGGCTCTTCCGGATCCTGCCAGTCAGAATCAGGATCTGCAACAGACCTTCTCTGCTGACACGAGTAACAAGGGCTAGTCTTAGCCAGACAGGTTGGTTCTTTGCTTATGATAGAAATAGAGATACAGATATACTTTTTGGAATTTAATTGTGTGGCAATATTATAAACAATATCTATAAAATATGTAAAGGAAGATCCTACAACGTAAAGGGGATTAGTAATACATTTGGGAAGGAACAGAATGAAAGATTCTTAGCCTTCATTTAAAACTCTAGAAATTGGTATTGCAATAAATCATTCAACATAGTGCTTTACGAGTTTCTCCCTATGCAATAGGACAGTGATGGCTAACCTTTTCAGCTTGGTGTGTCAAAAATCGGGAAAAAGTGTAGCCTTCCTTGGGTCGTGTGTCACTTCAAGAAATATCAATAATTTGGTTTATGACGGACTGGGCTGGGGTGATCACACAGGGCTGTGAAACTCGTCTCCCTGGTCTTAGGGCTGCAGGTGCAGGATGTGGGGATCGGAAGGCCACCTTACAGGGCTGTGAACCTCATAGATCTCCTTTCCTCCTGTAGCGTTCCTGAGGTAATGAAACTGACAAACCTCAGTTTATGGTGGTTAAAACTGGTTCTCTGCTGCAAAGATCTTGCGGCAGCGGTGACACCACACCTCCACGCAACAAGCAGGGAGCAGGGATTGGAGCAGAGCACAGGCAACCTCTAAATGTGCAGGTTTTCCCCACACCAACAGGCGTGTTAGTCAAAGTGCCTCGGTGTGTCACGAGTGACACGCATGTCATAGGTTAGCCATCACTGCAATAGGAGTTTCCTTCATTCTTTTTCTCCATCACGAACAACCTGGATGCATTTTAGAAGATTCTATAATCTTAGTAGGCCAAAGGGAAAATAAATTCTGTTGGCAGAACTGATATGCAATTCCATATTATCATGATTAATTGGATTAAGCGCAATGCTTTAATCAACAGAACTGCATATCATTTCTGCCAACAGAATGCTTCATTTCCTGTCCAATATTGGCCTCCTAGTATTGTGGATTTGTTTGTGTGTATTTCGAATTCTTGCCCCAATAATCCCAGGTCTTGTATGCATTTATTAATCTTCCCGCAAAGACTTCTTTCTCCTGTAAAGAAGAGAGAATCTGGAAGGTGAAGATATTTTCATGGCTATATCAGGTAGCTGCATACTTTTAAGGATCCTGTTGTCTTTCACAAACAAATAAATAATTGAATATAGAGAATATTACAATATGGAAGGTAAACCTTCCATGTTTGAGTAAATATACTATCCTTTCTAATTTTTCCTACATTAACTCAATTGATGTTAGAAAAATTAACAGATATAGTAACATGGAATAGAATATGGGTAGAAAATGGGGTTTGTAGAAAGAATGTCATTAAATGTGTACTCCATCCATTTTCCAATTGAACATGTTTCTGTCTTTAGCATTTGTGGAAGTGACAGGCTTGTTTATATGAGTGTCAATCAGTTACTATATATTAATTATATATATTTTCTTCTTGATTGTAGCTTCAGAACTTGAAATCTGTTGGTATCAAAAATTATGGGTATAGGATTTGTCTAAAAAATTGTGTGACACTAGAAGGGGGAAAACTACCAGATTTATAGCATTTTTTATATGTTTATTAACATTTGAATTACTCCTTTTTTGACAATGGGACATAAAAAAGATTTTAACCAGTATGATCAACGTGTTTAGAGTTATTTTGTCTAGAACATAGTTTCCAGGCCATTTTCTGTTCCATGCTTATTAATGTTGTGATTATATTGATCGTTTAATGTTGTTATTTATAGATTTTTAGTTTTCATAATATTTAAAAGGTGAAGAGTTTTGAATATAGATACTCTAAAATGTTTACTCAAAGAGGTTTTCGTCACGGGGAACATAATTTTTGAATATGTATATGTAAGTCTCTCAACAATTTCCTTAATCCAGGGGCCATACAGTAAAGGCTGTGTGTGAATCATTCCACTTAGCCAAAGATGCTGGATTCAAGGTGGTAGCGCATATGATGCCAGATCTTCCCAACATGGGACTTGAGAGAGACATCAACCAGTTTGTGGTAAGAATTTACTCTTTTATTTCTCTCTGATTATTGCTCCCTTGGACTCGCATGACAATCAGGTTCACTTGCCTGGAGAAGGAGAAAAAATAAAGCAACCAGTGAAAACTTGATCTTTCCTTTGAGTATCCTTTTATCACCAAGCCTTTTCATCACGCTTGACTATTTGACACAAAACATTATTCTGATTGTAAATCAAATGTTAGCAAAGCAGTGATGATTATGTGGACAAAGAGTCATTACAAAGCTGTGAACTGGTTGAGTAAGCTATGCAGAAATCCATGTTTAGCAAGATCATAACTGAATCAGAGTTCCCTTTAGCAAAAGGGGGAGAGAAAGATAGCATAGGTTGGAGACAAAGTAGCATATGTATATCAAGGGTATTTTTCATAATATTATACTATTTCTCATTATACTAATACAACTGCTCAGGGCCATAGGTACTAGAGAAGCTAAAGGGATATTTCACCAAACATATTGCAGCTGGATAAATTAATAAATTCTTTACAACTAACACTTTTGCAGCACTGGTTTCTATGTCCAGTGGTAATTTTAAAAGTTTGATACTACTGTATAAAGGTATGATTTAATTCACATATTTGATAAGCCATTGGTTGTTTATCCAATCTTTATGGTTTAAGCTTAATGGTTTAAGTTTAATTGGCAAGGTTCAAACAATATACTGTACCATTAACCATCAAACAAGAATTGCCTTGAACCGCAAGATGAGTGACAAATAAATTTGATGATGATGATAAAAACAAGAAGAAGAACAAATAGCACATTATGCCAGCAACTATCATTTAGAGACACTCTGTCTTGGTTTGCAAAACATGTCAAATCAAGCAAACCATATGAAGGCTCATGTAGTATGTGAACCCAGCTAAATTTCATAAATATAATTATAATAATTTAACTGGATATTCAATGCTGAAAGGTAGCACTACATTACTAGGTATTAAAGGTCAAGCAGTCAAATGGATCTAGGACTACTCAGTGTGGCCAGCTCACAACTCACTGCCACTAAGTCACTGCAGGACAACTCAACCCCACAATTTGCTGCAGGGACAGCTCACTGCGGCGCCTGGAGGAAGAGCCAGCCTGGTGAGTAAGTGAGCGGGCAAAACAGTGGCAGCAGTTGGAAGCTTCCCATTTTCATATCCCTTGCTGCCGTGGACCATTCAGCAGTAGCAGTGTTTTGGTGGTGGAAGTGTGCGGGGTTGGGGGGCGAAGAGGCAGCAGCGATTGTGCATCTCCCATTTTCACACATATCCACCACCCCTACCGCCGAGCTCCGGGATACAATTACAACATTCATTAGAGAATTTGAATTGGCGGTTGTATTTTAATAGGTCACATGGTTCCATACCTGAAGTGTATTTTATTTTATTTCAGCAAAACCTCATTTTAATAGTCTGATTGAGCATAGTGCAGGAAGAACCAGAGTAGGTTATCTCTGGAGTTACATCATTTGTGTGATGACATTTTTACATAAATAAATATACATTCATTTCTGACATTTGCATAATGTGGATATCACATCAGTGAAGATGCAAATGACAGGTAATTCTTTATGCAAGTAATATAAATCTTAATGGAGATTTGCTTTGCTTTGCTTCATGTGAAGTCTTTTCCATTAAGATCTGATCAAATGAGATTTCATTATATTAAAATGAAGACGAGTCTAAGAAAAGGGATAGTTTGTAGTTAAAAGACTACAAAGCAGCAGAAGGAGGAATCCCAAGTGTGCATTTTCCACTTGCAGTACTTATTTCAATGCTGTTTTGACAGCATGGGTGATTCATGGACACACACCCCCTTTCTATTTTCCCCCCAGGTCACCTCATTTTTCTTGCATTGTGACAACACATGTGTGCCTTCTATTGCCTAATGTAGTCTTGAAATGCTGGCTGTGTTAAAAACCTCATTAATTTTGGTGAGCAGTTGATTTATGCCAGCTATTAATTTGATCATGTTATAAACTCCCCTGCTGAATCTGAAGCACTTGAAGGGATATGTGTTCTGTTTCTCTAGTTTTCTCTAATTTCAGCCCTATTGATGCTAATTGTTTACAGTAGGAGTTCTGGAACAGTGTTGTGAATTATGTGGTGCTTGTGTGCACAGTTTGTTATTATACTGTAAATGAAAAGTTGCTTTTGAAATTCTCTCTTTAGAATTTAGAAATCTCAATAGATTGCAGCAATCCATGGTGCTTGCTAGTAATACAAAGTCCTGCATTAAATCCTCATGAAATTTAGATATTTTTATCTAGCTTTATCAAATACCATAACCTAAGAAGAACCATCATGAATCAGTCTAAGGACCTTTCTAGTCCAGCATTCTCTTTTTGTAGTAGTTACTATGGAAGTCTCTAAAAAGAACATGAGTACAATATTCATATTCCCAAAACTGGTATTAAGAGATAAGCTGACCTTGATATGGGGACAGGACAGTGAAGATATTTTTTTTTAAAAAGGAACCATTAGTAAGTAACCTTATCCTTCATGATTTTATTTAATTTAAACATTTAAAGTAATCTCCATTGCTAGATTTTTTGAAAGCAGATTCCATAGTTAACTGTGAAGTTGTGAAAGTTTTTTCTTTCTTTTGTTTAGTATCCTAACCATCAATGAATCTTAACCATTAAATGACCTAGATTTTCATACCACTTGGATAACAAATGGAGTGTAATGGTTCAAGAGATAAGGAAAATCCAGGTTTAGATTTCTAATTAGCCATGAAGTTCGCTCAATTATTTGATCCTAGTGTTATCTTGGAGACTAATGAACGTCACAGGGTTGTTATGAGTATAAACTTGGAGAAGATAATCTACAATATATTGAGCTCCTGTAAGAAAAGCAGGATAAACAAATAGTAAATGTGCTGTTAAAAATTTATAGTATTATGCAAGAGAAAGAAGGAATTTCATTTCATCCTGTTTTTCCACACCATAAGTAGTGATGGTTACCTCTGTCATTTCCACTCCATCTCCTAACTCATGGAGGCATAACTATTTTTTCAGTAAGTCTAGAACAACAAGATATATCTTCATATTTCATACTATAATAATACTTCATAGGCTTTAAGCTACAGACCTCCAAAAGTGTTTAAATAATCACATAAAAGGGATGAGCCATGGTGGTGCAATGGTTAGAATGCAATACTGCAGGCTACTTCTGCTGACTGCCGGCTGCCTGCAATTTGGCAGTTCAAATCTCACCAGACTCAAGGTTGACTCATCCTTTCATCCAGGGATGGACTGCTGGGGGTTCGCAGGGTTTTGAGAGAGTCCCTAGCTAAGATTCTGCGCAGTTCGGAGAACCCCCAAATCCCACTCCTGGCTGACCCCTCCCACCCCGCCCCTCCCAGGAGTCCCCACGCGGCCCATTTTGGATGCAGGTAAGTGCAGGGCGCGCGTGGAGGCTTGGGGAGGGTGAAAAGCAGGCCTCGGAAGTTCAGAAAGGCCAGAAATGGGCCTGTTTCCAGCTTCCAGAGAGCCTCCGGAGCCCAGGAAAGCCATTTTCACCCTCCCCGGAGGTTTGAGGAAAGCCTCCAGAGTCTGGGGAGGGGGGAGAAACGTCTCCCGCACTGTGGTGCAGGAGGCCGACTAGGCCACGCCCATCCAGCAACCAGGCAGAAAACTCTTTGCTAAAATTTTTGAAGCCCACCTCTGCTTCCATCCTTCTGAGGTGGATAAAATGAGGAGCCAAATTGTTGGGGGCAATATGCTGACTCTGTAAACTGCTTAGAGAGGCCTGTAAAAGAACTGTAAATCAGTATATAAGTCTAAGTGCTATTGCTTAGGCTACAGACCTCCAAAAATGTTTAAATAATCAAATACAAGGGGTGAGCAGAGGAAAGATACTTTCCCCATTATTGTATATGCAGGGAAAATCTCTTAAAAGATTTATGAAATTGACAAACATCCCCTTGAAAACCTGCCATTTTTGCAGAAGGAAAAAACTCAACAAAAAGATTTTTTTTTTTACCTTTTCCACTCTTAGATTAGCAGAGGAAAGATACAAGGTGTTTGGCAGCAGTGACTTGAAAACATATTTCCAAGAGCTTTATTCCATAAATGCCTGAAATAATAACTTTAATTACAACCAAATTGCAGTCTTCTTTTTTATTGTTTCCAGCCCAATGGAATGTTGGAAAGAAATAATGCAAAGGGACTCAGCCCTGTGTCTGTCCATCTGTCTGTCCATCTGTCCGTCCACCCATCAGCAGAATGACTCAAACAAACAAACAAAAATTGGTTTAACAGGAAAAGCAAAACATAACAAAAAGGAGTAGTTTGGAAGTGGGCTATTGTGGGCGGGCGAGGGGAGGGAAATCCCACTGTACAACCTGATGAGCGTAGTCTCTAGAGCGTGGCTCAGAATGTCTCTTTCAGTCTTCTAAGCCTTGTTCTTTCTTTCCTTGGATAAATAAGCATTTGGGCAGCAAACCCCTGAATGTTTTTAGACCCCATGTTTTCCCTTGATCGTAGAGATTGTACATTCTTTTAAAATAGAAATATATAACTAAAATAATGTCTAAGATATAAGCCACCATTCACCTGAAAGTCTTAATAGATTTTCTTTGCTTTTGGTTTAGCATATCAGGTGAAAGATGGCTTACAGCTTAGAACGAGAGAGACCAACAGTTGTGGTTTATGCCAATGGTCCCCAACCTTTGCGGCTTAGCAGCCTGGCAGGGGCAAGCCACGGGGTGGTGCACACATGTGCACGCCGTTCAACTTACGCAAGCGGTGGGCCGGCATACATATTCATGCACGCGCAGCTTGACTTGCGCAAGTTGAGTGGCATGTGCCTGTGTGCCAGTCCACCACTCATGCAAGTTGAGCTACACACAGTGCATGGCAGCCTGCCACTCGTGTGGCCTGCTTGCAAATAGGCCATAGCCTGGTAATTTGCTGCAGATTCCTGGTTTATACGATAAAGCATTATTAAAAAGAAAATGTCTTAGCACATAGTACAGCCCCAACTTTTCCATGC